GCTTTGGTTCAAACATACGGATGAATGTAAATGTATGATGTATTTACAGCAAGGCGGCACTTAAAATAGCACCGAACCGAAAGTATTTCCGAGAGGTTGTTAGTAGATGGAAAGAATACTTGGTTTCCGAGAGGTTGGTAATAGATGGAAAGAATACGTAAGAAACTTGTGTATCCGTCCTTTGAAGTGTTTTCCATTAAAATTAGGAGGGACTAGGTAACTTCGCACTGTCAACCTGCAAGGTGCCTAGGGCCTTCACTAACGACATGAGAAATACTTTGTAAGGTATTTCTCCAGCGTTCCTAGCATGCCTTAATGGTGTCGTGGTTCTGCACGCTGGGCCGGTATTCCAGAGGTCCGTGGTTCAATTCCCGGCGAAGACGTTTGCTAATTTTTCTTCTTGCCTGCTTCCAAATAAATGCCTAATGTCTCTACAACTTTTCTTTGGGCATGATAAATTAGTGGACTCGATCTAGGTGGTTTATTCACTCTTTCAGGTCCTTTTATCAAGAACTCTCATAAAGCATAAAATGTTTTGAAAATAAATTTTTTAAATTACCGAAAAGGAAATTATTAAAGTTAATATGAATAAAAGCAAAAAGTTTCCGGAGTTAAAAAGTGACAGTGCGTTATCACCTAAAAAAATAACGTGGTTGCATTATACGCCGTAGAAGTGTGGCTGATATTGTTTCCACATCATTTTGCTTTATACAAAACGCAAAACATTTTAACTATTACTAAGAATATTACATAGCAGAATCTTAAGGAGTGATTTCTTGGATAATCTAAGCAAAGATCATTCACTGAAAAACTGTCCGGGTGTGATACAAAAGAATTTACAAGTTTAGCTGTAGAGAAAAAGTAAAACGTTAAATATAAAATCTAATGCCCAAGTGTAATAAGCGAAAGTCTGCTGATGTATAATACAAAGTATTTCCCTACATTTTGCGGAAATATTTTTACTGTATGTTTACAAGAAGGCGAAAGAAAGATACCAAAACTACGATTTATATTTTCAAATATTTCGATAGTTGATAAATCATTAACAGTTTAATATCCTGTTCTTTAAAATTACACTAGCTCATGTACACATAGCTGTGACTGGTTTTATTGTAGTTTGCTAGCGAATTATGTTTCTTTACAAATTCATTACAAAATGTTTTAGGAAAGGAAACATTCTTAGCGAAGTAATTGAATTTTCTTCACTTTGAATAATTCATAGTACTTTCGTTTCACATGCTTCTCCAAATGAGATACCATGTATTGCGTAATTCTTCCAGTATGTGATTTCTTATTTCAATGGATGATTTCGTCCACATCTTTCCTGAAACTATTTTAATATAATTTATTAAACTATAAATCGACAAATAAAAATTTTTAGATATCAAATAAGAAATGTTTTATGAAGAGTAATTAAATATACTACGCTGATTAAAACGATTTAAAATCGCCTTTCGTTTCCTCTTGCAACTAGTGCCCTAGCGGTAAAAGCGGTTGAACCCTGGTAGTTCGGTCCGTGGTTCGAGTTCCGGTGAATGGGCTGACTGCATGGGCATTTTCTTAGCTTTTCTCACGTGTAACGTAGATACGATCCTCTTTCTCTTAAATCGTCCTCCATGAGACATCCCTCCTTTTTCGTGTAGTGCCAAATAGTCGAGCACGTAACGAATATCACACTGTCAAACATGTACTATATTTTATAAAAATTTTATAACGGCGTGTTTGATCCTGCAATTGGACATCTCCGATCCTCAGTATTTTGTTACAGCGAGTGGTAGTACTTAGTATGTTTTTTCGTGGCTGCTAACCTCTACGACTCTATATCAGAAATACGATAAAATTTTTATGTTAAACTAAGCGTATGACACACTTGAAATGTTACGTACATCAAAATCCTGGAGAATGGCTAAGTGTTTCATCACCATCCAGCATGCGCAGGTGGTGAATATCGAAATACTAAAATATTTAGCCATATATTGAAATATTTAGCATTTCAGTTTTAGGGGTATGTCTCAGTATTTGACTGTTTTAGTTTTAGGAGCTTTTAATTAAACATCTCTAAAACCATTTGCGAAAAGTCATGAAGGAGAAAGCTCTGAGTTACTTACGAAAATTATATTCGTTAGGACATTACCGGCTGCTCGTTGCTGCTGTGGTACTGGCATCATTGTCTGATATCTTACTAATAGCACTAGAATACCTTACATAGTCTTAGTGGCATGAGGTTTCTGAGCCTCCTAGCAGGCAACTAAGCAAGGATAAGTTCCCTTCAAATGAGAAAATATAAAACGCCAAACCGTTAGTGCTTAAAAAGCTATCATAAAATAGCATATTCTATGTTTTTGAATCCTTTATTAAACGCTGTGCAAAGTGCAACTCAATGCAAAGGACTCAGATTTGAAAATGGAAAAGAACAGCTCTTGTACAGTTACCAAATTTTGAATAAAAAAGGGATTTCAAAATGTTTCCATCAGCTAACCTACATTACAATTGACTTACGCAGCAGATCTTCCTAATATTATAATGAAATAGGGCAGAGCTGGTCGTTCTCATCTTCCTTAAAAAATAAGAGTTTTGTTTTCCTGTAGTACGATTTTTTGTAGCAGTCATCTGAACATCCAGGTACACAGAAAGGTAAACATTTTGATGCTCTCATTTTACAAAGAGTTGCTTCATCAGTATCTCAGATTATCTGCATGAGAAATTTCGTCTGGATTTTCTTTTGAAGTAATCAATGCAAAGCTCTTCTGGATTATGAGAAAAATAGTCTTAGTCATTTTTCTTAGGCTAGCTTGGTATAGTGAGAACTCGAAGAACTCCGTTTAGTTTGGAGAACTGATAATTTATGTCATTCCAGTTAGTAAGTGCCTTTGCTAAGATACTTGCCTCATTCTGGATTTTGCTTTCCATTAGACAGGAAAAATAGAATATAGCAGAAGAGTTACATTATTTGTGCAATTTAAGCGGTTTTACAGGACATCTATCTGTCAAACTGGTAATAGGCTTTATAATTTTTTAACCACTTGTAAGCCTTCAATAATACTATAGTTTCCTTTTAAGTTTTCATTTTAACCATAGTTAATTATACATCTGTAGATTATTTCAGTGTAGTGTTTCTAAAAGATAAATTGAATCCTATTCCAGAAATGAAGAATTAAACTTAAAAAAGATACTTAAAAAAATCAGCCTTTCGAAATATCTGTCGTAATATAAAACAGTATATATATATATATATATATGTAAATATAAAAAATAAGATGTCTTTGCTCTACGCGAACACGCAACCTTTAATTAACTTTCTGCAATTTAGGATCTTCCCCCTAGACCAGTACCTTCTAGAATTTGCTAGCCTATTACGTAACCGCTACTATAAATACTGAGTACTCGCCATTTTTCAGTCAGACTGCTTCTTAATATCGCTGCTACAAGACTCTGCGCTGCTCTGCCCATCTTTCCTTCCTTTGTTAGAATTAGTTATGACGCAGAAAGTTTAAATTCAATCCTACTCAGATAAAATCACTATGTATATGTAACTTAGAGAGTTTCGTATAAAAGGAAAATTATCTGCTAACTGGATTAAATAAAAATGGGCAATTAAAAGCTAAACCAATTTGTGTCGTCTTTGGATATCCTCTTTACCACTCTGCGAAAAGCCATGCCTGAACTTTGATGCCAAGCTTCATCACGATTGCTGCAAAATATCACATATATATTCAAAAAAGATGTATATATATATATATATAACGATGCTGATCACATACGCTAAATTAAAGTTTTTATCAGCTGTAAAAAAATAAAAAATCTGATGCGTACACCACATGACATCTTTGTAAGGAATATTGAATTATACGCTTTTTTTCCTGCATTTCATTTAAACTTATTTCTTCGAATTTCATTAAAGATATGTTTCTCATTCAGTTAATTTAGTTCTCCCTTCGCGGCAAGGCGAAAATGCATAAAAACTCAAAATATCTTCATTAAAAATTGAAAGATACAGAAAAACATAAAACACCAAATACAATTAAACAATAAAAGAAACAATTTTTACAATTAAAATAACAATTTCTACGAAAAAACAAAGCAAATTTTAAATTGTTGATAATTCTACAGCTATTGCATGCAGATTAACTAAAGGCATAAAAACCTTAACTGGAAGATAACAACATAATTCAATCATTTCTAAACCAAAAAATGTGCAGTTTACCAACATATAAGAATAAAAAAAAATGAGCTATATATACTTTTGGTGCGGCCTATTGCAACCAAAAAGGGCGGTGTACAACTACATGTTATAGGAATCCTATATACAAAATTTCAACGTTCTAAGTACACTCATTTTTGAGTTATGCGAGATACATACATACATACAGACGCCACGAAAAAAAATCTCTTCTGACTCTATTTTAAATCATTTTTATAATTTCTTTGGGGAAAAAGAGTCCTTAACGTCAGTTGTCACGCAAAAACATCGCCAAATTGCATTCGATAGCAGTCAAAATGGATATTCGTACAAGGAAGTAAAAAAATTAAGAAAGGAAAAGAATTAAATGTTATTTCCGTATTTTTAGTACTCTGTTATTTGTATAAGTGTTATGTTTATCAGATGAACCATAATTAATATAATGTCTTGTACAGCAGATATTATATGAATTGTGGTATTATTATGCTTATCAGTAGAATCATAATTCATGTAATATCTAATACAATAGACACGTGTGGCTATTAGTTACTGTAATATACATCACTGTAATATACATACTGTATCATACATATATATACTGTAATACAACTATTTTTAAGCACTGATTTCACAGTAGAAATAATTAGGAAATAAAGTTGATTTCAAGTCATATTAAAGGGATTCTGTTTACCATTTTTCAAGATATAAAATATATGTTGTTTATGATAATGTGATATTACTGTATTAGGAATTCTGCTTTTAGAATGTTTAGTTTTCCATTTTCGTATTCTAAATTTAACATTTAAATTCGTAATGACAGATACAAGAAGAAGAAAATTATCTTCAGACTTTGCCTCAACTCCGGTTGCTTGGGGGTCTTTTCCAACTGCTGCCCGAGATAATAGAAAAGACTTTGACAGATAATGGTATTATAAGTTAAAATTATAATAGCAGTATATTTTAAATTAAAATTTAATGCAAATGTATTATAATGTATTATACGCTGTATTTTTCAAGAGCAACAGTTTAAGAATGTTTGAAAATGTTTCTGCTTAAGTATGATAAATATTTTGCTAATTTGATATCGTGCTCTTAAGAACCATATAAAAAGCTATAATTATACTACAGAACACTCTTACCCTGATACTGAAATTATTTTCTTGAAATTTTATACTTTTATTTTGAGAAATTTTATATGGGTCTTGGATCAAAATTTGAAAAAGCTAACTCTGAAATCAAATTTTTTGAAATTTTTATATAAGAAACTTTCGATTATTAAAAAAAAAGCAAATGAATTTCATCTGCCTTTTTAGCAAATATTTTTGAAAATAATAAATATTAATGAATTTCTTCTTCGATTACATAATGCAAAATAATAGAACATAAATAACTGACAATAACCATATCTAAAATATAATTTACCCTAATGCTCTTAAATTTTCTACCATTGTTCGTGATACTTCCATTACGCGATATTATTAACTTTTATGAACTTATGGCATCATAAGGGATCTCATTCTATTAATTAATATACTATTCGAAATAAATTCCTTTTAATATCCCAAATGTAGCATTTTTTGAGTTACTTGCTATAACGGTATCACAGATGATAGCCAGAGGTGCTCAGCTATCAAATGAAATGGCACCCACATCGTAACTCCTAGTTGTCGGGCTATGTTGCGGACGATAGTCAGGTGAGCACGCCACTGTTGTTCTGGACGTCTTCAGACACGTCTTCGCTGGTCATCGAGGCAAAGCTTAAGAGGGATCAAAATACAAGGGCTATTCAAATGAAAAGGTACAAAAAGTCGTAACAACCAAACCGGTTGAAATTTGAATATTCCGCTTTGGCCTGAGATAGTAAGACATCTAATGACGCAAACCTTGTGTCTGGCGTGGTTGTGTGAATGCGCGGGCAGGCAGTTGTGCGTTCCGTCCAACTGATGCCGCAGTGAGTGTGAAGACATTACGACGCTCACATTACAAATTTCGACGCCTGAGGAGCAGCGAGGCGTTATCAGATTTCTGACTGTGTAAGGGGTTAAAACGGCCGCTATTCATCGCCGGATGGTGGCCGTATACGGGTGTCCAACAAGTCAGTGAGAAAGTGGAGTGCTCGTTTTCTTGAAGGCCTGGAATGTTTGAGGGGTGACCAGAGATCACATCTGGCAAGCATGGTAATCACGGTCAAACTCATCGACAAGGTGAGCGATCTTGTGAGAAGTGACATCTCAGAGGAAAGCGCTTCAACTCGGAGAACGAACTGAAGGACACAGTGGTGGACTGGCTCCTGTCGCAGCTACAGGAATTCTAGGAAGAGGGAATCCTTCGGGTCGTGAAACAATGGGACAGTTATGCTCAGGCCTTTGGTGATTACTTGAAATAAAGACTTCAATATGTCCATAGTGTCGTTTCTTACCTTTTCATTTGAACACCCCTTTATAATTCTGCTTCAGTTCATGAATCCCAGTTCGAATGCGCTCGACAACACTGAAAACGTATTTTGCGGTATGGAGCGGTGAGGGGCAGTCGGCCCAACAGCTTGCGTGACCTCAGCCCTGAATCACTTAGTCGCCTATCAGTGGTCACTGCAGTCACTGGTGTATCGGTTACATGTCATGTCGTTAACAGGAACACATCAGAAGCTGTGAGCATCGATCGGATGATCACTCTGTTCTCGTGTTCTGTAGTCGCTCTCGGTTGAACGCTGCCTTCTTCTGACGCTTTGTACGGCAATGGTTCACCCACTCCTGCCAACATCTTTGAATGGTAGCATTGCTCCGACCCAAACGTTAGCACTCCTGCACCTTGACCACCTTGCTTTCAATTTTTCCAATGGCACGTCCATTCTAAGATAATCACATATGATCATACTGTTCGCTAATTCGTCTGAGAGGTACTGGTATAGTTGACGCGTGAGGAGGGAACCACATTCTCATGGAAGTTATTTCATAGCAATTGAATGCCCTGTATTTTATACCTCATCAGGATGCTCCGTTGCAATAAGCTGGAGCTCCAGCTAGTCAGTCACTGGCTGCTAAAAATTAATCAATTGCATATTCCTTCCAACGAAAATAAGTTACGAAATTTCGTCTCATTCGGATAACTCTTAAACTCTTTGTGCGTCATTTTTTATTTTATAGAGTGTATTGCATGATTTATGATCCCTTAATCGCCACAGAACGCTCGCGTTTAAATTTACTTTTGCCTACAAATCAAAAATGCCTTACATGTACTGGCATTGATCAACTGTGCAAAAGCTTTTTTATTCCTTGTTCGAAATAAAAGAAGTATTGTAATCGCAAAAAAATTTCAAGCATCATAATTCAACGATATCCATTTTGTCCACACTTGAATCTATTTAAATAATTGTTTTTCGCGACACCTGTACGCACGGACAGAATACAGGAATCTTTTCCATAGTGGATCGTAAGAATTTTTCGTGACGTCTGTGGGTACGTTCGTACAAATATATGTATATCGCATAAATCTAAAACGATTATCTGCATAATGTTGAAATTTTGGTTATATGAGACTGCTATAACATGTAGTTGTGCTTTTTCTTTTTCGTTACAATCGGTCGCACCAAACGTGTATATATACACACACACTTAGACAAAAAAAAAAAAAAAAAAATTTGGCTGCCAATGAATGAACGGTTGTCGCTACAGCGCATCTGATCTGCGCAAATGGCAAGATATTTAAGAGGAGAAGTTACGATAAATTCACCACTTCGCGTTTTGAGAATAACAGCTACAGAGTACAGGACTAAAACCGCTGTGTTGTTGGTTCATCAAGTGTCCTATTGCTGTTTCATTGTGTATACATTTATTTTACTATGCTTTACAAGTATTGTGCGTTTTTAAGTGTGAATTCTTCATTTTCACTTTATTATTTGACTGTGCTTACCTGCAATTACTGTTTCTTTTTCCACCGGTGTGTGAACTTTCAAGAAGCATTGGCCGAGGTCAGTTTACAGCAGGGTAACTCCTCACGTGACTGCCGCCGACCTACGACGTTTCAAGCCACATCAACTGGGTAGAACTCATTGCAATTCAGCTTGGCAAATGCATTTGATCTAAATCATGAAATTCAAATTATTAGTTATTTAATTATGATTGTTCATCACTAGTTTACTACATAACTTAATATATTTTCATGTTTTGTTGCCAGCTCTAACAGGTTTCCTAGATGTACTTCTAAATTCTAAATTTCATTGTGTACTCATGTACTATTCTAGCTCCGCGTAAATAAAATTCTTCACGAATTTCATTCCGTGTACTCCGGTAGACAGTAATTATACCTCGCATACACGTGCGCGAACGATATGCGCAGATGTCAGAATTTGAGAGAGTCGTGTAGTTGGGCTCACAGAAGCCGGTTGATCTTATCGGCGAATAGCTCGACATTTGAGCAGGAGCGATGCCACTATTAGACGATGTTGGCAGGAATGGGTGAACCATGGCCGCACACAGCGTCAAGAAGGAAGCGGTAGGCCTAGAGAAACGACAGAACGTGAAGACCGAGCAATCGTCAGAGCGGCACTCACAGCCCCAGATGCATCATTATCATCGATTGTACGTGCAGCTAGGGTTTCAGTGACCGCAAGGACCATTCATAGACGACTCATAGAAAAGGGACTGAGGTCACGGCGCCCCTTGCGCCGACTACCATTGACGTCTGTACAACGTCAAGCCCGTTTGCAGTGGTGTCGGGCTCATTCGCACTGGAATGTCGCTGACTGGAGTAGAATAGTCTTCAGTGATGAGTCGCGCTTTGAACTGATCCCCGATGCCCCTCGAAGGCGAGTCTGAAGGCGCCCCGGACAGAGGTGTGATACCAATCTGACTGTCTTCCGGCAGACAGGCGGACTACCAGAAGTGATTGTCTGGGGTACCATTTCATTTCATATTAGGACCCCTTTGGTTGTTATCCGCCGCAACCTAACAACACAGCGGAACGTCGACGAAATTCTGAAGCCCCGTTGTGTTGCTTTTTATGTCACGCCACCCTGGGCTTACATTTCAGCAAGATAATGCCCGCCTCCACATTGCACGTGTTCTACTACTTGGCTTAGTGCTTACTGAACATTACCTTGGCCAGCAAGGTCACCGGATCTCTCTCCTATTGAGCACGTTTGAAGCATTATGGGCAGGGCCCTCCCAACCAGCTCGGGATGTTGACGATCTAACGTGCCAGTTGGACAGAATTTGGCACGATATCCCTCAGGAGGACATCCGCAACCTCTATCAATCGATGCCAAGCCGTATAACTGCTTGCATAAGGGCCAGAGGTGGACAAACGCGTTACTAACTTTTTCACTTTGTGAAGCTCTGTCACTTCTAAAAGTGGCTGATCATGTTTTTGTTACGTTCCAGTTAAGGTTTTTATACCTTCTGTTAATTTCAGCCAATAGTTATAAAATTATTAACAATTTAAAAGTTTAAGTAGAGCTAGGCCTAACGAGGCTGCTATTTGTTTACATTTGAAACTCTTAATAGAACAGTGAATTAAATCAATTGGTGCATCAAATTCAGTGACTTTTTTTCCCAGTGGAATCAAAAGTTAAATATAAATTTTGTGTGCCGAAAATCTGTCTTCTTACCCGATGGCCGAATTGCTTGTTTTTGCGTAAAACTCTAATTTTCATTGTAAAAATTGTTTTTTCTTTAACTGTTTTTAGCTGTATCTGGTGTTTTAGGTTTTTCTGTATTATACAATTTTTAATGAAGATGCTTTGTTTTTTAATGCGTTTTTGCCTTGCCGTGAAGTGAGAACTGAATTGATTGAATAAGAAATATGTGTCTAATGAAATTCGAGAAAATAAGTTAAAATGAAGTGCAGTGAAAAATGTGTATAATTTATTACTGCATACAAAACAATTAAGTAGTGTCCACATCAGATATCTATTTCTTGAAGACACTCATGTTTGCTTTACAAATGTACCCTAATATTTTTAAACTATTTTAGTAAAATATAGTACTACACTATTAGTTCTTAATTAATAACTTATACCACACTATTCGCATCTTTATTTGTATCTACCGATCATTTAAATCATATCTTTCAATTGCACTCAGCAAATGCTTTTTACTATTCATGCTGTAGAGACATTAGTTTATTTCGAAGCAGGAGAGATGAAAAAAACGTGCCATGCCCTCGCCGGGACTCGAACCTCGGACCCCTCGATACGCTCCGAGAGCTGTAACTACTACTGCACGAAGCCATGCTAAGAACGCGGGAGAAATACCTTATATATTCCCCATTTTAAAGGGCGACTGGTTATTGGGGCACAAGATCGCCAAATCCTGTTGGTGCAGAATCATCATCCGCCACCCTTTTTATAGTTCGGGCGCCACTGTAGGATCATTTTAGAATTTTTTTTAGAATTGTCAAGTAGCAGACAGTAATTTATACTTAAAAATATAGTTGTAGTTTGAAAAAAAAAATTCTGAGCAGACAATATTTTTTATAACAAAGTAAAATCGTCTAAAAATGTGTGAACAGCCTCTGTATAAGTCATAAGGAGTTGTTTTATCTTTCTTTCTGTTTTGATGTATGTGTTTCCTGTTAGACTGTTAGACCCCTCCTTTTTTGATTTAATCATTTTCTCTTAGTTTATTTAATTAATTTTGCTGCACACGCAACTTTAATAATTTAGAATCTCAATTTGAAGTTTATAAACTTCTGTTAATATGTAGCAAAACTTAAAATTTATAAATTAGAAGAAATAGATTATACTCTCCTGGGAAAATACTATAGATTGAATTAAAAGTATTCTTAAATTTATAATAAAGTAAGATGCAAATTGCTTAGAAGGCTTTGAAAATTTTTTAAAAACATTTTAATAAATTATTAATTAAATTGTTTTAATAATTTTTATAAGGGCATATATTTATTATATATTATTTTTAATAAAACAATTTGTAAATATAATAAAAGTAATAATAAAAAATTAATAATTTTTATAAGGTATATACGTATTTATATATATCACCATAAATGATTGTTAGTATATATATATATATATATATATAGTATATATGATGTAGTATATATGCATGATATTTAGTGTATGCTACCGTTAAAATGTATAATTCAGTTACTTCATAGAATAACTAGGTATTTCATGAAATAACTAGACAAGTCAGTTAAAGTATATAATAGATGAAAAATTTCATATTTTACCTAGTTATTCTATGAAATAATTAATGACAGACTGTTAAAGTGGAAAATATGCAATTTTAAAGTTATTTTATAAATTAATTGCTCATAAACAGCTAAAATCTCTCGAAAAATACATTTGCATGTCATTAAAACATACATGTGCTTGTCACACATACAAAGAGCAAGGTCATTTGAGCAATAAACTATCACATCAGGTTTTGCATCTGTTACTCGCACGATTAACTTTTCTACTCCTTAGACTTAAAGGTTATTCTAATGCTTGCAATAACCAATAGTCACGTGGTACTTTTTTATGTGCTGTTTTAGCACTTTTTTACTTTGCTATCAACGTTAATTATTTTTAACTAGTAAGTGAGAACAGTTTTCCTTTGCCCACGCTTATTTAATAAAGATTCAAATCTCTCTCGCATTAAATCTCTCTTATTTACAGGTTGGTCCCATATCTGCAGAAGTCATTGCTTGAAAACAGGTGGCAAAAATATTTATTAATAATCCAAAATGTAAAACGCTAACATAAATACACCGTGTAAATTATACGTCTTAAAGCAGCGGCATGAAGCGCAGACACACACATATCATTGCAAAGCAGCTATAAGCGGTTCAAAACTGACTAGAAGCAACTAGAACCGGTTGGTAGAACTTTTGATTGCCGTATTTCATACTTTAACGACCAAGTAATCTTTATTCTATAGCAAGGCTTCTGACAAATTTTTCACTTGTACTGTAATATACTATTGCAGTTTTAGGTCATTAACTTTAATTTCTAATTTTAAGACATAGAACAAAGTCAAAATTTTAAATAAGTAACAGACGAAGTGATAGCGTCACGTGCAAAGCAAGGAAAATGAACGTTTATATTATACAAAGAATGCGTCGAAACGTTTTCGTTTTTTTATTTGTGTGTATTATCTTATCTTTATCTATTTTCAGATATATTGTGTAAAAATATTTGGTAATTGTAAAATTACAATAATATAATAAGTTAAAGAAATATCAAAACTGCTAAAATTTTTGGTGACCCCCAAAGGGGTCGCGACCCTCAGTTTAAGAAAATCTGTTCTATAGAATACCTAGCTAAATCGTAGAATTCAATAACTTTATATTCTTATGTAGTTATTTCATGAAATACCTAGTTTTCTATGAAATAACGGATTTTACGCTTGAGCATAACGGTAATATAATAAAGTAATAACATAACGGTAATATAATAAAGTAATAAAATAAGTAAACTGCAAAGTAACAAAATAATAATTTATTCACTAATGGATCATCGAGTATATTATCTCATTTGAGAAAGTTAGAAGAATTTTACTTGAATGAAATAACTTGTAAGCATTTGAAAATGGATCTTGAAATTTTTTTAAAAAAAGATACATCAAATATGAGGCATGAAAAAATTGAAACTGGAAACATTTAAAAAATGAAAAAGTAATCAATTGACCAAGTAATTATCGTCACTGATCGGAAATTAGTTTACTTTTCAAGGGGAACAAACTAACCTCCGATCAATTAGCAATAATTAATAAATGTGAAGGTTTTTCATCTTTTACTCAAGTATGAATTATGATGCCAAACTGGTAAGTTGAGTTTAAGCCAAGTAGGTGGATTTTAAGTGAGATGAATTTAAGTTAATGTGCTATATAGAATTCATTATGAATGTGGCCATTCCGTTTAGTTTATAATTTAAAAAAAAAAAAAAAAAAAAAACGCGAGATATTGTTCTTAGGGTGAGTAGTAGTAATATTTTCTCGAATAAAATGTACCCTCGGCACCCTCGCTTTCATTTATGTTAATTCAATGTAATCTTTAAAAACATAATAAACAGAATGCAATCTTTGCAAAAAATTATTAAATATATAAGTTGAAAAATATTTACAGAAAATAAGGTAGAAGTACATTTTTAATTTACCTTATCACTAAGGTACTAATGTACCTTATTACTTAAATAAGGTACATTAAAATGTACTTGTACATTTTTTTCTGTAAATATTTTATTACAAAGGTTCTGTAGATACCTTATTACTAAGGTATTAATGTAACTTATTACTTAAAATGTACATTTTAATGTACCTTATTTTCTGTAAATATTTGTCAACTTTTATATTTAATAATTTTTTGCAAAATTTGCATTTTGTTTATTATGCTTCTAAAGATTACTTTGAATTAACGTAAATGAAAGCGAGGGTGCCGGAGACACTTTATTCAAGTGAGAAAATATTAGTACTACTCATCCAAATAATAATATCCCATGTTTTTAAAAAAAAATTATTAGCTAAACGGAATGGCCACATTCATAATGAATTCTATCCCTCTGAGCGGCATGACTATCCGGTCATTAAGATTTTTTGTCACTCGCTATCATATTAGCTTATAACTTAAGATATTTTGCTTTCTTACTTTCTTTAATAATGTAAATGTGTGTGTGAGATTATGGCAAAGCCTCGAGGGCTATCTGCCTAAGAGGAGGGATGCCTTCGTGGAGGACTTTCTAAGGGAAACTGGCTCGTATACACGTTACACACGGGGAAAACCACGAAAACGCCCATGCAGCCAGCCCGTTCGCGGGATTCGAACCTCGGACCGAACTACCATGTTCAGCGATTTTACCGCTCGGCCGCTGGTGGGCCCAATGTAAATGTAATTTTAATGAATTAGGTTTATGACAATAGAGGCTAAACTAAGTAATTATATAAATTTAGCTAATAAATGCTGCAGGTCTTCATGATAAATCCAAAAACTCGTGCCGCTTTGAGGGATAGAATTCATTTTGAATTATTAATTTAATGAATTTATTATTAATAATTAATAATTCATCTCACTTAAAATCTACCCACTTGGCTTAAACTCACCAGTTTGGCATTATAATTCTTACTTGAGTAAAAGATAAAACATCTTCGCATTGATTAATTATTGTTAATTGATCGGGGGGTTAGTTTGCTACCCTTGAAAAGTCAACCAATTTCCGAACAGTGACGGTAATTACTTGGTCAATTGAATACTTTTCATTTTTTAAATCTTTCCATTGTCAACTTTTTCATGGCTCATATTTGATGTTTCTTTTTTAAAAAGTGTTCAAGATTCATTTTTAAATGCTTACAAGTTATTTCATTCAACTAAAATTCTACTACCTTTCTCAAAGGAGATAATGTACTCGATAACCGCTTAGTAAATTTATATATATATACTGAATGATGATGAAGCCGTGCACAATTATTAGATAATGCAATTTAGCTGGCGAAATGCGGCAAATAATGTTTTGTTACGCAACAGTTATTATACTTCTTCTAAATTTAGCTACTTTTCAATAATTACTGATAGCTAAAAAGTGGGTCATGGATATTTTGCACAATACACTTACAACAACGTTATTTTGGTATCCTTTCGAAAACACCACCCAACATATTTCTACTTCAAATTCGCCCCAACAGCTATTTCAAAAATAACTTATCCCAGTAGTTGCGGAATTTTTTCCCTCTCATCGGAGGGCTCTGTTTTATTTTAGATTTTCACTCCAACGATATTTTTTAAATTTTTTTCTCTTTTTTTTCTCATCATTCCCTGAATTTGAAACTTATTTTGTAATTGCAAGCATAAAAACCTAAAACTGGAGTTTTTTTAATTGTTGTTTCAGGCAAGTTTCTGCAATTCGTAGTGAATGGGATGACTTATCCATCAGAGGAAGTGAAGTCTGCTGTCGTATACTTGTTGATTCAAATCTTTTCAGCCGATTCCCGTACCAGTGATGATGCTTTATCCGCTACCGACCGTTTGATAGTCAGTGGAATATTGAGTATTCTGACTCATGATCAAAAGAAAGATTTAACGAAGAATACACTTGGTATTATTTTTTTAATTGCTTTATGGGCTTCACTAGATCAATAATAGCTTTATTTCATTTATAGCGATAGTTATATTTAAAAGACTGTAAAATCAAATAAATTGCCTCTCGAAGTGTGACATACTGTAATGCTTTCATATTTAAAAGAACCAAACCGAAGTTTGGAAACATGATATAAAAATATACGCAAAGTATATCTAAAAATCATATACATATATAAACGTAAAATGTTTTTCTGTTAACATATTCTTCATTAAAAAAAATTGACTAGACCTTTTTCACTTCCTTATACGAAGTGAAAGAAGTATTGTAATCACGAAAACTTTCGCGTATAATATCTGTAGAACGGACAGAATAAAGAACTCTTCTTTTCCAAAGCGAACTGTAAAACGGATTTAAAATGGTTTCAGAAATAACTTTTTCGTGACGTCTGTACGTATATCTACATCTTATGTAACTCAAAAACTACGAGTAGTCTCAGAACTTAAAAATTTTGTATGAAAATTGCTGTAACGTGCAATTGTGCATCTCCCTTTTTGGTTGCAATCGGCCTCACCAAACGTATATAAATATACAAACCCACCCTGTCATTTGGCTCCATGAGCTTAGTTTTCTTACGTGTTGTCAAATCGTTCATTTTTTGCTTTAAAGATGATTGAATTATATTTTTCTTATTTTCCGGTTAAGGTTTTTATGCGTTTAGTTGATCGGCGTGCAATAGTTGTAAAGTTATCAAGAATTTAAAAGTTGTAAGCGGTACTAAGCCTAACGCGTCCGCCATTTGTTTAAATTTGAAACTCTTAGTAGAATAGTGAATTAAATCAATTGGTGCAAAAGCTTCAGTGTTTTTTACTTCCTTGTACGAAGTAAAAAGGAAGTATTGCAATCGCGAAAAGTTTCAGGCAGCATATTTCAACGAAAATATCCATTTTGACCGCTATCGAATGCAATTTAACGATGTTTTTGCGTGATATCTGTACGTAAGGACAGAATAAAATACTCTTTTCCTTCAAAAAAATTATAAAACTGCTTTAAAATGTATTCTGAAGAGAATTTTTCGTAGCGTCTGTACGAACGTATGTACGTACGTGCGTATCTCGCATAACTCAAAAACGAGTAGCCTCAGAACGTTGAAATTTTGTATATAGGACTGCTATAACATGTAGATGTGCACCTCGTATTTTGGTTGCAATCGGCCGCACCAAACGTATATAAATATATTTATATATATATCCACTCTGTTACCTGGCTCGGTGATCTCAGTTTCTTTACTCTTATATGTTTGTAAATTGTACATTTTTTGCTTTAAGAATGATTGAATAATGTTATTTTTATCTTCCGGTTAAGGATTTTATGTCTTTAGTAAATCTGTGTGCAATATTTTTAGAATTATCAGCAATTTTATAGTTGTTTAATTGCCGCTAAGCCTTTTTTAATGGCGGCCATTGATGTTTACATTTGAAACAGGAGGCTAGTAGATTTGTTTCGGATCTAGAGAAACTTAGCTTCGCAACAACAAAGATAACGCATTCATTTATTATTGCCAATTAAATCATGCTTAATTCTTTCTGCAATTTTTTCGAGGAAATAAGTGTTTGAGATTTACTTCGTAATTTTTAATATAGATATTTTGAGTTTTTATGTATTTTTGACTTCTCGCGAAGTGAGAACTAAATTAATTGAATGAGAAATACTCAATCATCTGTGAAAAATTGTTTCTTTTTTGTTTTCTTTGCTTAATTTCTTTTATACATCATTCTAGCTTTATTATAGTATTTGAATAGAACATGTGGCAACGATTAGATAATTCTATTCTTTAAATGATATAAATTTTGTGCATTATGAGTTATAATATGAACGAAATATATAAGTTAACTTAGTTTCCGTTATATAATTATTATATAAGTTAACTGTTATATAATTATTAATAATGTTAAGTGAATCTAGCGCCAGAGTGTCGCTATGGTAAACAAATACTAGAGTGAATTTTAAAGAATTCATTTATTCCATTGTGGTTTATGCGCTGTCGGCGAAGTAGATTTAATTCAATCCAATAAGTTTAAATGAAATGCAAGAAAAAATGCGTATAATTTAATATTCCAATACAAGGAAGTCATGTGGTGTACACATCAGATTTTTTGCCAAGTGGGACCGAACGTAAACGTTCAGTTTTGTGCACCGGAAAATCTGCCTTCATGCCTGCTGGCCGAGTTACTGGTTTTTGCGTAGAAACTCTGTTAGAGACATTAGGTTATTTCGGGGCCGGAGAGATGAAAAATGAGCAACGCCTTCGCCGGGAATCGAACCACGGATCTCTAGAATACGCGCCCAGCGTGCAGACCACCACACCATTAAGGCATGCCAAGAAGGCAAGAGAAATACCTTATATAGTCCCCCTTTTAAAGGGCGACTGGGTTTTTAAAGGACCTAATGGCTAAATCCTGGGTGTGGAGAATCCTCATCTACCACCTTTTTTTTTTTAGTTCGGGCGCCATTGTAGATACATTAGATTATTTCGAGGTCGGAAAGATGAAAAATGAGCAACGCCTTCGCTGGGAATCGAACCACGGACCTCTGGAATACGCGCTCAGCTTGCAGACCACCGCACCACGAAGGCATGCCAAGAAGTAGGGAGAAATACCTTATACTCTAGTTTTAATTGTGAAAAGGTTAACTTATTAAAATTTATTTATTAAAATTTACTTATTAAAATTTATTTAACCTATTGAAATTTAGTTAATTAAATACATGTTTTTAACTGTTCTTAACTGTATTTGGTGTTTTATGTTTTTGTATTTTACACTTTTTAATGAAATTGTTTGGAGTTTTTATGCATTTTTGCCTTCCCACAAAATGAGAATTGAATTAATTGAATGAGAAATATATCTGTAATGAAATTCGAGGAAATAAGTTTAAATGACACGCAGGGAAAAATTTGTATAATTTAAAGACCGTTCAAAGAAGTCATATGATGTCCATATCAGATATTTAAATAGTTGATATCATTTCCCACGAATTTTATTTGAAGATTCAAACAGTAAGAAATGTGGTTATAAGAATATGCAATATATTCTCCTACTGCACATCATTCTTCAAATAGACGAAAATTTTGATCCAATATTTAAATAATATAAAACTGAAATTAATTATGAAAGTTTGTTAGCAATATCCACATACATTTTGTGTTAGTTTGCATTACGTCTCATTGCAGTTTGAAGCTGTCTGAAGATTGTAGAGCTGTTAAAGCTTCAATTTTATTTTATACTGATAAGGACAGTTTTTCATATCTCGAAAAAAAAAAAAAAAAAAAAAAAAAAAATTGACCCTTTGAACCACGTGGACCCTTTGATTTTATCTTTTCTTAAGCCAAGAGCAAATTTTCGGAATTTGTATTACTTTCAGTTTGTTGTCTGTGTTTACAGGTAGCTAATTTATGTATACTGTTTAATATACCACTGAGAAGAGTTAACTCTAAACCTTATCTGTGCCTTAAAAAAAAATCAATTTGGTTTGATTTGCTAATCATCTTACTTGTACGCCGTACGCAAAAATTTATTATTTTGAATGGAAACTTTAAAAGCATTCTCGTAAGCAGTTTTATAAATAATGAAAATTCAATCTTTAAAAATAGATGATGTCTCTTGAAATTTGAAACGTTTTCTTATGATGAAAAAGATTAAAAATGAGTTTTCGAGTTAAATTAATAATTCAAAAATTAATAAATAAAACGTGCATTGCATTGTTGTCGTTGGCTTGTCCATATTACATGGAACAATGATTGCCAGACTCTACTCCAAAGAGAGGTTGGATTTCTATTTTTCACACCAATTTTAAGGGAGAGCATCCTGGGGAAAGATCCGGGGGTCTCCCACTCCTTTTACCTTCCACCACTCCACACGAGAGAACTTTCGGCTCGTAGCATATTTAGGATGTCGCCATGCCGCACAGACACTATACATTTACAAACATCTACATCTTCTCCGGGATTTGAACCCGGGCCTTTCGTTACCCTAGTAGGCTCCCTTAGCCATTTATCGTCAGCAGCATTAGAGACATTCTAACCCACATGCCTGCTTCGCAAAGACCCTCATTCATCCGAGTGCCAGCTCATACGGGAATACAAGGAAATGAGAGAGCAGATGTTTTCGCAAAGGAAGCAGTGGATTCATCCACTTTGCGAGAAGTCCCGACCCTTAGGCCAGTCTCGGACCTAAAGAGTCGGACATTCCATCAGCTCCTAGGAATGTGGCAAGAACGTTGGGATCAAGCCTCCACAGGGAGACGTGTTTACAATCTCATTCCCAAGTTCAAGACAACAATCCAAACTAATAGCAATTACATGACGTATTTCCTCACTAGTCATGGGCCCTTTCCTTCATACCTCTGCCGCTTTGGCTTGAGAGAGAATGGTAACTGTGAATGTGGGGAGGAGGGTCATCCAGACCATTTTGTGTTCTCCTGCCCACACACAGCACTTTACAGCCTCAAGTAACCAGGAGCCAGATTCTGGCCAAATTGGTTCTAGAATCTACAAAGTAACAGAGTTGCCCAGCGGAAACTGGAAACAATAATTGGCTACTGTACTAGCAATTACTCTTCTGACGCTGGAAGATAGTAGTCATAAAAGTCTATATATGCTAGTTCTATATGTCAGCAACAGAGTATGTGATATGTATGTTCGATATGTAATTTTGTATTCATGCTGTGCCAGGTTCTCATACATAAAGTTCGTACTGTATCTGAGTGCTGTAATGTATCTGTACATGTTTATATCTTTTATTTATGGTACCTAATTTATACTAAGGATCACGCGTACCTCAATGGCATGCTTCTTGTAAACTTTATACCTATCATGATAACGTATATGTATGGATGTATATATCAATATGAGTGAGAGTATGTATACTTTTATATCTTTCGGAATATTTATGTATGTAAGTGTGTATATATATCTGTATATGAGTTGGTATTGATATGCATATACATATATTATGATTGTA